TTCACCTTCACTACCTACCTACCACTACTCCTAAGGCTTAGACAGGGGACCCCTGCAAACATAGCTTTGTTGTCTCCCTCCAGCCCCCCATCAGAGGGGATGCATGTTGGCCCCCGCCCCAACCATGGTGGTCAAGGATGGGGTGGGGTAGACGGTGGGGGTCCAGCTAACGCAAAGACCGAGCATTTTGCCAGTAGCTGAGCCTCCCTTTTCATCGTCCCCGACCCACTTTCAGTGGCCTGAGAAGGATTGGTGGCCACGGCCAGTCAACGCTGGTACCTCGCTGGGGCGAGTTGTGCTGCCCTGTAACCGAGTTGCGCCACCCTGTAACCCATTGCAATGCGGGAGCATCGGGCGAAGTGGAAGTGGCTGCTCAGGTCCTGCCGCATGGCTGCTCAGGTCCTGCTGCGGCCGGTCGGGACACGCCCAATAAAAAGAGCTCTCAGGTTGAGTTCTCAGTCAGAATCATCATAGCTGGCATGCATAATTACAATGCTTATCAGGGTTGAGACACTCAATTTCACGATATTTCCAGAGGCTTAAAAACACTCTCAACATACCTGTCACAACATAAGGCTTAGCTCAATAAGGAAGCTCAATAAGTCGTCATCATGGCATATAATCTACAATAATAACTTCCATAATAATCTCGAATTACCCGGGGCCGGTCACCTGTGGATATATCTCAAGACTGCCGCCCTTTTAAGAAAAAAACGAACAAAAGAAAAAAAAGGAATAACAGCCGTGCCTAAGGTCAACACTCTCCCACACACCACACACCACACACCACACACAACCCACTCACTCTCACACTCGCACCCGTGTTGGGCAAGGACCCTGCTATTACCGATCCGAGGTATCAAGCGCTGACAAGTGGACTACCTCCTTTCTTTCTTTCGTTTTTTTGTTTTGAATGCACCTCCTTTCTGGCCGTAGACAGCGACCAGAAACGGAGAATGCCCCTGCACATGCAGGCAGGCCCCCACGTGGAGAGTGCCCTTGCACGTGCAGACAGGTCCCCACGTGGAGAATGGCCCTGCACATGCAGACAGGTCCCCACGTGCACGATCCACTCCTGGATATGTCAATCGTTCAGCTGAGGAGGCAGTGCCCTGCTTGCGCAGATAGGCCCTTCGGGACATCCAGAGAAGATTAAAGCACCAGTACCTTTCCCATATGTAGGCAGCCCTTCCGTTCCAGGCCAGCGCGTTACCCGGCGCGCCTCTGAAAAAATAGCTGGGAAAGGTACTGCTGGTTTAACATGGCCCCGGCACAAGGATGACACGTAAATCGTGAAATGGTCCAAATTAAATTAAACAGGGGAAACGGCTCCTGGGTTGTGCACACCCAGCGTTTCGAATACAAGGCAAATTTAGCAGTTCTCGAAACGGGGATAAAAAAGAAAAGAAAAAAGCAACCGCTAAATTTGCATTCACAGCGCTTTAGCCCAGGGTTCGTAACAGTAACCTCCGCAGCCCCAGGGAACAAGTGCCAATTCCTGATTTACAACCTCTGTTAATGGGACGCTGGACCCGGTTTCTAGCAGGTT